GAAAAAGCCAGTAAATGAACAAAATGAGACACTAGATACGAGACTTGAACCCTGAACATCTAACTAACAACTGAAAAAGCCAGTAAATGAACAAAATGAGACACTAGATACGAGACTTGAACCCTGAACATCTAACTAACAACTGAAAAAGCCAGTAAATGAACAAAATGACACACTAGATACGAGACTTGAAACCTGAACATCTAACTAACAACTGAAAAAGCCAGAAAATGAACAAAATGACACACTAGATACGAGACTTGAAACCTGAACCTGTGGCTAACAACGTAACTTCTCTTCCACTGAGCTATCCAAAAGTACAAAACGTAGCCAGAGATGCAGGGTTCAAGTCCCTCTACAAGTATTTTTTCACTTATATGACATATTTATACGTTGTTGTTGTGTTTATAAATTTTTCGTTAAACTGACCACAACCTTAGCAATAAAGCAAACCAGGGTTGGAAGGAAACAATAATTAAATCACAGCATGTTTAAATATAAAATAAGACTACAATCAATATATACAATGCAGCGTGAATCTTGTTTCACACGAGTTTTATAATCATTCAGGTGTTGTTCCTCACGGAGACCTTCCGATGCAGAACCCCGACCTGTTCGAGGGAGACATCTTGGGTATCAAGAACGCTGAGGTAAATATACCGAGTAGAGTTAGTTTCGACTGTTAGTTGCATTCTTAAATGTTCACCGGTTACATTCTCATGTGTACTTGTATTTTATTATCTAGTTTAATACACGTTAAAGACCCAAGTTCATATTATCATATCAGCGGCCGTTGAAAGTTAACTTTGTAATTTCTGACATTTGGAAAAGATCTGTTTCCAATAGTATTTTGTAAACTACAACTTGTACTTTCTGACCTGACAAAACCTACCATAATTTAAGTTAATTTAAACGAACGACACCTGGAGTTAGATATCTGGTTAATATTAAACGTATAGAAATTATCTTCCAAGAACTTGAGTCTTTCATAATAAGTTTAGGGAACAAAACAGTTTAAATGTGGCAAGAGTTTCACACACACACACACACATCTGTTTATCAGAAGTTAAGAATTGTCGCCTATGTTTATTAAAGAAAATATTTAGTTAAATTTTAATGTTACGATAAATTAAATGTTCTATCATTATTTTAACTTTTTTAATTTTTAAAGGAAGCGGCTAACTTTTATTTTTATTTTTTCACTTCAACTTACGGTTTTTCATAAAACTAGCAGAAACACCGACCTTCCGGGCAGGTATAACTGCTAAGTTCCTGCGGAAGGCTATTGGGCCTGAGGCCTTTTCTAGAATTGTCTGACAGTTCTACAACAATGTACTCATACTTG